CCTCCCTCCTCCTCCTCCTCCTCCTCCTCCTCTTCCTCCTCCTCCTCCCCTACCCCCTCTTCCTCTCCCTCCTCCTGCTGTCGCTCCACCTTTCCTTCTCTACTCCCACTCCACACCAAACTCCCATTCCCCAATCTTCTCTCCTTCTGCTGCCCCTTCACAGCATAACCTACCCGCTTGCCCTTGCCACCTGACATGAGTTGCACGAGAGGCAAAAAGGCGAAGACAGACAGACGGGCAGATGGAGAAAAGACATGGTTTTAGTCGACCCACAGCACGCTGCCCGTGCCGCCAGCATTGAGGTGAGTTTTGAGGCGACTCAAAAGTCGACTCACAGCATGCTGCCCGTGCTGCCTGATAGTTTGTGCAGGAGAGACAAGAAAGGCGCAAGACAGATGGGGGGGGGGGGGGGCAAAAGGCAGGCATGCTAAGGGCCTTACACTCAACCGAGCGATTTCTTGATCTTTTTTTCTAAAGAAGGCAAAGACAGGCTCTGCAGCAGCCTAAACCCGACGCAGCCCACCCATGGATCACTCCTCCTCGATCACAGCCCACAATTCAGTTCAGATGTCAACACAGCACGGAACTAGGGCATTAGAAATCACTTTTGAGAATTCTCAAAAGTGATTTCAGATGTCAACACGGGACTAGGGCTTTAGAAGTTTCAGGTCTAGGACAGGGTGTACTTTGAGTTACACCTTGGGGAGCAGTTCGGGTGAAACCTGGGGTGGCAGTTGTAAGAAAAAACCCCTTCAAATCGAAAGCATGGGGTGTTCGGCAGTGTGAACGATGGTGAGGGACCAATAAACCCAGAGATTCTGAAACTAGGAACCCCAAAAACCAAAATTATACCAATCTCAAAACCCCAGAACCCCGAAACCCAGAGCTTAGGAAATTCAGCAAAGCCATTGGTGCACCTGTGGCGGTGCTTGGTTGCGCTTCTGCCGCTGCTGTGGAGCCGTTGGATCGGGTTCGATCAACGGCCCGTGCTGCTGCTGATTGTGGTGCTGCCCGGCTTGTCTGTTGCAGAGCGTGTGGAAAGTGGTGGGGAGGGGAGAATGGGGGGAGTACGGGGAAGTAATCGGATGGGGAAGGAATCGGATGGGGGAAGGAATCGGATGGGGGAAGGAATCGGATGGGGGAAGGATAGGAGAGGCCGGGGCGACGATGGGGTAGGATAGGGAGAGCGTGACGTGGGAAATTGATGGAGGCTTGCCTTCTAGGAATAGATGGAAGAAGAGGAGGAAGCAGAGAGAAAAATACAATATTTTCAAACACACATACCTGACCTGGTGTATTTGCTGACGTGGCAGCCGGCTGGAGTGACCCATTTGCTGTCACGCCGCGCTCGTCGTCTTCAAACATGCTCAGAAACATCTCGCCTGCGGTACAGTTTCAAAACCAATTACAGTTACACTTTCAGTTACAAGTACTCCATCAGTACCACAAGATGAACCGAATGTACCTCGTTCTTCCAGGCGTTTTCTGCAGCAGCGCCTGGATCGACGCGTCTAACTCTACGTCGTTCCCCTCCTCGTCGTCACTTCTGCTACCGCCTCTCTTTGTAAAGCCGCCATTCGAAAGGCCGCCCTTCCGAGCTGATGTTTTCTTCGTTACGCCCATCTTTCGCTTTCGGCCGTTGCAGTTGTCGATTCCAAGTCACAACTCTAGTTCTTCCGCGTTGTGCTCCGATCGAGGGCTAGACGGATAATATTCATTACTACTTCCGGCATAACCTGGTCAGGGTTTAGGACAGAACATGCAGCAGGACGAATATGTGGTAAGAATATCCTCGTTGCAAAATCATTCGGCTTTGTAAACACATCCCCGGTTCATATACATTTATGGCGAAAAAGTGTATGTATCTAAGAGGAGGATGTGAGTAATTCCGATTCAAGTAAAACAGCACAGCGTGGATAATTACTCTGAAAAAATGTGTCAGCACATGCGAATAAACAAGCACGTGTTCTTTGCTTAGAGAATGTAATTTATGATATGTGTGAATTCACAACCGAATGTAGGTAACATTCTCTGCTATAACCTCACCAAATAGATATAACGGTCGCGAGTGCGTTTCTAACAAGGTTTTGGAATTCCTGTCAACTAACTCCGCCTTGGACTAAGAGGGTAGTCTAAGAGGCAGGATGTTCATAAAACGACTTGATTCGTGTGATAGCGGTTATTATCACGATTTTGGTTGATCCAGTCGCGAGTGTTGTACTGTTTATGTAATTAAGTGCTGTTCTTGAAGGTTCAATTCCCAACTGTGGGCCGTTATATACTTAGTGTCGCTAGGTCTTAGTGTCACCTTGTTCTTAGCGTCGTTCTTAGCGTCACCTTGTTCTTATCGTCATCAGTACGTCGTCCAATCTTCCCGGTCCGTCACAGTACTTTGTTCGCAAGCGTCACTTGCCGGAAGTTTTTATTGTCAATACAAAAGTCGTTCTATAAACGTTTCAGTAATGGACAATAACGGGGATAACATGGACGTGGATGGCATACTCCAGCGGCTAAGGGAGAAATACTCCCCCACTGCTGCACAGCCTTCGCACTCTCCACCCGAACCTGCAATTTCCGCGGGGGTTGCCGAACCTGACGGTAGGTTCGGCGGTCCAGTTCATTTAACAGAGAAGCCTAAGAGGCAGGTGAAATGGAAGGATCTGGAAGAAGCCCAATCAGAGGCATCCACGTGGGATAACTTTGACTCTAGCAGCGCTCTTTCGGGAAAGAGTTCTTTCACGCTTGTAGGGGGTGCAGAGGGGTTTGGAGATACAGGAGGAGGCGATGGGAGGAGATCTAGTTCACCCGGCCGTTTTTCTGGTGCTGCTCCTGAAGCCGCTGCAGCTAGATATGCTGGGAAACCGGGGGTTGGAGCAGGAGCAGAATCCGGAGCAGAGCAGCAGCAGCTGATATCGGCGTTGCTCGATCTACAGTCGCTGCTGCAGGCGTCTCAGGAGGAAGCTTCTGCAATGCGGGAAGAAAACGCCGAGCTACGCCGATCGTTGAAGACTTCTTGGGATGACATGGCACGGGTGGAAGAGAACAATAGGCAGATTCAGTTTCAGTTGTCACAGGCACAGGAGCAGTTAGAGCAGGCACAGGGACAGGCACAAGCACAGGCACAAGAGCAGCTGTCCAAAGCCAACGGTCAGATAAAGCAGCTGCAAGCTGAGCTTCGGGCAGCTCAGGAAGAAGTTCGAGTTGCCCAGTCTGAGCTGGCGGTGGTTCGGGCTGAGCTGGCGGGTTCGCAGGAGGAGGGGAAGGAGTTGGCAGAGGGGTTAAAAGAGGCAAGTGAGGAAGCGAGAGAGCTTCGGGCAGATTTTGAAATTTTGAAGGAGAGCTTGATTGATGAGCAGACGCGGGTCGGGGAGTATATGGAAGAAAATGAGAAGCTTGGGGAGCAGATTCGGAAGTCTCTGACCGCAGCTGCAAAGGCTCGGGCCGAGGCTGATGAGGTTCGGGAGGAGAACGAGAGGCTGACGGAGGAGGTCGGGCAGCTGAAAGATGAGAATGAGCAGGCGCAAAGGGTTTTGGCGGCTGCCCAGGGGGAGCTCGGGCAGGTGCTGGAGGACGGGCAAGGGCAACGTGAAAGAATGAAGGCACTTTTAGCTGAGAGCGGTCGCTTAAGGGAGGAAAATATCAAGCTTAGGAAAGAGCTGGATGTGATAAGAATTAGTGAATCAAATCGTGTGGTGGGGAGTACAGGAAAGGAAGAGAGGCGTGTGGGGGAGAGAGGAGGAGAAGGAGTGAAAGGGGAGGAGGGGAGAGTGGAGGAGAGGATGATGGAGGAGGAGGAGGGGAGGGTTGGCAGGGGAGGGAAACGAAAATGTTTTGCTGAGGCAGCTGGATGGGAACCTGAATGCTGCGCGGGAAGAGATAGTCCGGCTGAAAGCAGAGAACGAGCAGCTGCGGAGATCTTTTGATGCTGCCCGAACAGCGGAGACGGAGGAGGAGGAAGAGGAGGAGGAAGAGATGAGCATGTAAGTGGCACGTTGCAATCTGCGCTGGAAGAACTTGAAAGACTGAGCGATGAGGGGGAAGAATGAAGCGGAGGAGAGAGCCGCGGCGCTACAGATGGAATTGGCTGTAGCAGGGGAGAAAGCTGGCAGGCTTCAGGCGGATCTGGCTGTAGCAGAGGAGCAGCTCGCCAGGTTGCAGTCTCAGGTGGACCAGGAGAAACACCAGGTGAAATCTCAGGTGGAAACAGCAGTGAGGGAGGCGGAAGAGAGGCAGAGAGCAGCGGAGGAAAGGATTTCGGAGCTGATGGTGCAGTTGGAAGGGGTAGAAGGGGTGGCGGCGCTGCGCAGTGGTGTTGATGTGGATCTGCTTTTAGAGAGGACGATGAGTATGAGCAGTGGTGGCAATGGTGGTGGGGGCGTTGTTACAGGCTTTGCTGCCGGTGGTGGTGGTGCTGCTGCTGCTGCTGCTGCTGCTGCGGGTGGTGATGGTGTTGTTGGTGCTGATGTTGATGCTGGGGAAGGATTATTTGGGCGTGGTAGCAGCAGGGGAAGTGCAGAGCCAATGACGTGGCGTCAGAAGTTTGCATACATTCCAGAGGAGGACAGAACAACCTGGCTGCTGGACGGCCTAGATCGCACGCACAGGGAGAATCAACGGCTCAAGATCCTCATCCGGCATCTGCAGTCAACTTTGGTTAAACAAGATGAGGAGGTGAGTCAGCTTCAGTCGCGAACCGACGAGTTGCTTCGGGCCGAAGCTGCTGGAGCGGCAGGGCGGGGCCGAGCCTCAGAGGCGGTTTCGGGAGCTGAGGCCACTGCTGCAGCTGTGGAGGAGGTTCGGAATAAGCTGTTTGCTGCCGAAGCTGAGCAGGCTCGGCTGGCTTCTGAAGCTGAGGCTCTGCGCCAGGATCTTTGGACTGCCCTAGATCAGTGCGGGCAGCTTGAGCGAACCGTTGCGTGGCTGGAGGAGGATCTCGGGCAGGTACAGCAGGAACTTTCGTCTGCCCAAGGAGAGGCCAGGGCTGCAAAATTTGACGCAGAACGGGCAGAAGAACGCGCGGAGGACACAGCAGCAGCACTCCACGAGTTGCAACGGGAGATGAACCGGCAGTTACATCAATCCAAAGAGACGACACAGCAGCTGAGTACTCGAGTCGTGGTGGCGGCGAGAGAAAGCCGCCTTCGGGCAGAAGAAGCACGGGCGTTCCGAGAAGCAAAGAGCTCTACAGTGGCTGAGTTGAGTCTAGCCGTGGAGGGTCTGAGAGAGGAAGTGAGGGTTGCGAGAGGGAGGGAGAGAGTGAGGGAGAGGGAAGCTGTGAGGGCGAGAGAAGCTGCAGCGGAGGCGAGGAGGCAGCTGGAGGTGGAGCAGGAGAGGAGGGAGGGGAGGAGTGGGGGGGTGGCGGAGATGGGTGATGTGCTTGTGTGGCCGATTGACCTTTTCGTTCCTTCGCAATTCTTTGTGTTTTGAAATGGCCGGGGAATGTGTGGGAGGGGGGGTGTTGGCAATATGTTGGGATCGGTTGTTGTGAGTGCTAAGGTGTGACCAGGGGTGTGAGCTGTGCTGAGAGATTTGGGGGTGTGAGCTGTGCTGAGAGATTTGGGGGTGTGAGTTGTGCTGAGAGATTTGGGGGTGTGAGCTGTGCTGAGAGATTTGGGGGTGTGAGCTGTGCTGAGAGATTTGGGGGTGTGAGCTGTGCTGAGAGATTTGGGGGTGTGAGCTGTGCTGAGAGATTTGGGGGTGTGAGCTGTGCTGAGAGATTTGGGGGTGTGAGCTGTGCTGAGAGATTTGGGGGTGTGAGCTGTGCTGAGAGATTTGGGGGTGTGAGCTGTGCTGAGAGATTTGGGGGTGTGAGCTGTGCTGAGAGATTTGGGGGTGTGAGCTGCACAGAGGTGTCTCCAGGGGTGTGAGCTGTGCAGAGGTCGCTTGTGGGAGGAGAGAGGAGGCAGCTGGAGGTGGAGCAGGAGAGGAGGGAGGGGAGGAGGGGGGGGTGTGGCGGAGATGGGTGATGTGCTTGTGTGGCCGATTGACCTTTCCGTTCCCTCGCAATTCTTCGTGTTTTGAAATGGTCAGGGAATGTGAATGAGGATATGCAGTACCACACCGGGAGAGAGGGGTTACCCGAGGAGTGAGTGCTGTTGCTGTGCTGAGATGTTTCTGGGGAATGTAAGTCGAGATGGAGGTGCCCGGGAGGGAGTGAGTGCTGCTGAAATTTTGTGGGAGTTTGAGCTGGACTGCTGAGGTATCACTTCGGGAATTTTACTTGTGAGAATTCTCAAAAGTAAAATTCACGTAGTGAGACCCAGGTATCATTTCGGGGGTGAGTGCTGCTGTGGTGAGCTGTCTCTTTGAGGGGGACGTGAAAGGCAAGACTTAAAATCATTAGGCTACTGAAGCGTAACTGATGCAGGAGTTGTGCACGGGATGTGATGTGAACCATGGATCAGCAGAAGCTGGTTGATTGGCGAAGTTGGTTCTTTGGTTGATCCGCATTATCGTGGTGCTCGATAATCAATCAGTCAGGAATCTAAGCATACAATTGTAACACGTTCATGGAACTTTCCTAACCTAGCCTTCGACTAACATCCTTCTAGCCGTCACACTAATATTCTAGAATAAATGAAATGTAGACTGCAGCTACGAGTATATGTACTGGTCGGAATTGGGCATCTTTCTGACTCGCGCTCGCGCGAGAAAATCCTTCCCCATCTAACCCGATCCGACGTAAGGTTGTGGGAGAGAGTGCGGGCTACTAACGGGCGTCAAGACTACTGAGAGAAAAAAAAAAGGTCAATCTTGAGTCAAGGTATAAAGAATCGAAGTCCCGAATCCAGCAAAAGCTCGGTAAGTTCTTGATGCCAGACACGTAAACGGGCGAGCGCGTCGCGTTTCATCTCCGGCTGCGGCGTGTCATCTCTACTCGATGACACTGAACTCCGCGACAGTGTTCGCGACGAGACTCTCCACCGCTTGCGCGAGCCCCTTCCCCTCGCACCGTACGGACGCCCACCATTGGTTACTGCTCGCGCTGCTGTTACCAAAGTTACCACCAATGCTACTTCTGCCGCTGCAGCCGCTGAGACCGCCGGGTTTTCTGCAGCTGCCGGGGCTGCGACACCGAAGAGGGCTGCTCGTCGCGCTACAGCCGCTGCTTCGGCTGTAGCAGCTCGGGCTACGGCTGCGCTTCGGGCTGCTGGTCGTGCTGCTTGGGCAGGATGCGCTGCCCGACGGGCTGCCCGATGGGCTGCCCGGTAGACTGCCCGGCTGAGAAGAGGGAGTTGGGGACGGGGCGCGGGGCGGTAGTTTCGGCCTGCTTGAAATCGCCATTTGTTGTAGAATTGAGGAGGGAGGATCGGGAGCAGATTAGCGAGAGCTACGTCGAGAAGGTCGAAGCGAAACGACCGTAGGTCGCGGAGGGTCGCGAAGGGTCACAGAGGGTACTAGAAGGGTGTACGAAGTGTAGAATATTTTGGAGGAGTCGCAGGCTAGTCGACAACACGTTAGTTAGCTCCAGAGACTTTAAAATCCAAGGCCAATTAGGTAGTAATGGGCTGATGTGTGATTGACGTGCTGTTGGACATACAAGGATCAAATTGTTCGACTCCGGTTTTATAAGGCTGGAATGGAAAGAATTTTGTCAGGGAGATGAGGGGAAGGGGGGGGGGGGAGTTAGGGGAGAGGAAGCAAAGAGGAAGCAAAACGATCTGCGATCACCACGGCGAACGATCGACAGAGGCGGACGGGTGGTTGGGTGAGTCATGCGCGTGCGTGCCGTGCACCATAGTGGTTCAAGGTAGGCCGCTGGGGGACACCTGGGAAAAGGGGTGGGTCGTGCGCGCGCGTGCACCATGGTGGTTCAAGGTGGGCCGCCGGGGGACACCTGCGGAAAAGGGGAGGGGGAGGGTGTGGATCCAGCCAACAGCGATTGCGATTGGTTGTGTGACGCGAATTGCGAAAAGCGCCCTCCCTGCGCCACCGACTGACGGACGAATCGATGACGCGCTATGTCAGCCAACCAGGCCAGGCCAGCGAAAGCTCGTTACATTGCCGTCGGCGAATCGGTTTGTGTTGTGTGGCGAGGCGAGTGCTGCTTGTTCCACCCAAACCGAAACATCAGTTCCCCGAACAATGCTGCTCCAACGTGCATAGTTTTGTTCGAGCTGATCCGGCCAATCATGAACGGACGAAGCCACCTGAAACACCTCCTGGACAACACTAGCAAATCACACGTCGCCCATTGGAGAACCGCGCTGCTCGGTGACCATAACGGGCTCACCTTGGAGGAATCGTGCGGTTCGACAAGATTCGGTTTTGTTTGGCCAGCAAAGGAGGACGCGGAACAGCGTGGAAGTTGCATTGGCCAACCTCGATTGAAATTTGAATTGGACGAGGGATCCCCCAGGATTGGACGAGGGATTGGACGAGGGATTGGACGAGGGATCCCTCCCAGGTTTCACACCTCTACCTGGACGAGGGATCCCCCAGACAGCTACACAGGGGTCCCCCAGGGCGAGGCGCAAGGTGGTTTCGGGGACGATTGGATTGGACCAGGCAGACAGGTGGCACGCAGTCCTGCTGCTGAGAGTGGTGAAACGAAACGCGCGGCGAGTGCTTGAAAATCCACAAGGCGATCCCCCGCGATCAACGCTTGCCACGGATGCTAGCCAGATATTCCCGACTGTCCGAGAGAACTTCCGATGGCGAAATCGCGCGCATCGGCGGAAATCGCGTTTGTCTCAAAAGAATCGACCCAAATTGCTCACACTTCGCCACGTGGGCGTTTTTCCCAATTGAATCGACCCCCTTTCCCCCGCCCCCGCAACCCGTTTTTCCCGCCCTTCCCCCCCGCTAAAATTTTGTGGAATCACAAACAGTCACGAATACGTGCTTCATACATCATGCCAAATCCACCATGTAGTTGTGGCATGCCACATCAGCTTTCGCAATTGATAATTTCGGCGGTTGCTTCTCAATATCAGGAGGCTCATATGCACGTTGATTGTATCATATTTTTTCCGATTAGCCCATGCCATTAATGTAGGCAGGGGCGCAAGAAAACACATGACAAATAACCTATAGTTTTTTTACGTTTTTTTATATATCTACATAGAGCTTTTTCCAGAAAACATAAAAAACTAAGAGGTAAATTTCATAAATTTGTTATAATAATCACTCCATGGCAAATAAAAAAAAACTATTTTTGAACCATTTAGATATTTTGTTTAATTTTATTGCTTGATATTATTTAGAAAAAATACTCATATTACAAAGATTCAACAAAATATGTTACTGCAGTGGCACATAATTAATAAAATCCATATTACTGCTAAAGTTATCATTAAAAGTCATAGGTGTTCTGTCCAATCAGATGTCGCTCGCATGTTGAAATCTTAGCGTTACGAAAAAACATGTATTCATGACTTGTGATTTTACGAAATTCCAGCGGGTGCCCGAATTTCGGAGGGCAAGGGCGGGAAAAACGGGGTGGGGGGGGGGGGGGGGGGGGGGGGTGTGGGGGAAAGGGGGTCGATTCAATTGAGAAAAACGCTCACGTGGCAAAGTGTGAGCAATTTGGGTCGATTCTTTTGAGACAAACGCGATTTCCGCCGATGCGCGCGATTTCGCCACTTCCGATGGAAGGCAGCTTTCGTTCGAGACAGGCCTTCTCACTGTACAGCTCACGATCCCACCTGCGACTCGTGGTCCCCCTAAACCAGCCTGGAATGTCGATTGGTCCACCTAGCAAGACGTTCCGCGCTGTTCCGTCCGTGGCTTGCTTGCTGGCAAAACGCTCAACGATGTGGCTCTGTTCCGTCAGACAACCGTCAAGAAAGTCTGCTGATTCCATGGCACCGTCAATCCAGCTCGAATCTGTTTCAACCCTCGTCAAACGCTCAAATGCAATCGTCTTTCGTTTTGTATGTCTGGAGCTTGGATTGTTTGTGACCCCCGCTGGGAAACGAGTGGTGTGGAATATTGCTAGAGATTATTGTGATGTTTCTTCTCGCAGGCAACGGTAGCATCTGAAAGCATACAGAGGTTCTATCTAATAGGTCGGACATAGCTTCTTAGGGTTTGTCAGCTTAGCTTCAACATGCTTCGTTAAAAGGAGCAAAGTTCTGACTAAGGAACGTCTAGTGCAGAGAATTATTTCAGAAGACTGCAGGAAATTGTACTTCAATCATAACACACCAGAGCAGTCATTATTTTTCGCCAAGCTCTGAAACCATAGCAGCACCTAAGGTGCAACTTCTACTATTGGTGCGTCTTCGCAGAAAGTTGAGTATATTTGGGCGCCAGGCTCACTCTAAAATTCCTGCGAAATACATTTTGCGACGGCCCCATTGGTGAGGATGCTACATGTCACTGTAAACCTGGAGCCATAGGTCACGCATATTTACGAGGTATTTATCTTTAGGCGTCATAACGATTGGGTGACGTACAATTATTACACATTCCACGTAATTACAAAGAAACGTATTGGTCGGCTTTTTCGAGCCAACCAATGTCACTAAAGCCGAAGTAGTATTTGGCAAAATGTCACTTGGGACAACCACGTGTATGGTTCTGCAGTGCCTAAAGGGCTCGCTCATTATCCGTTTCCTTTCGCTGTCCTTTTGACCACGGATTGTAGACACTTGGGCCCTGTTCGGGAGCCCCGAAACAGAGGATGAGCATGCTGCTCTGTACCGAACCTGAAGAAGAATAACGACAACACACCAGTTGCATTATTGAACAGTGGCGACAGCTGTGCAATCAGATTCGCCAGCTGGAGAAAATGACAGACATGTGCATACACACGATGTCCGTTTGACTAACCCAAGGTTGCCTTGTGAAGGGGGCGCTTAAGTGATTCATGCATTTCGTGGAGGTTTCGTCAATTCGCGTCGGGCAAAAAGGGCTTATAGCAAAATTTTGTAACTCACCGTTGACTGTTTGACTTCGGTCTCTTCTGTTTCTGTGGTTCGTATTGGTTGACGTGCTTGTAACGTGGGTGCAACTGCCCGGGAAAAAACCTTCGTGTGCAAGGTTTCTGGAACGTGCGAGGCAATTTCGCGTGCAGGGGTTGGGCATCTTGTGTAGTCAACGCCCCAATTTGATCAAGAACGACAACCACCGCAAGCCGGTGGTCAAGATGCCAATTCGAAACTACCATCTCATCGGAACTCTCAACTTCACATTTCCTCTCCATCCCAAAACGTATTTTCTAAACCGAAGCAACCCTTGCTCCACCCAAATAAAAAACACCATCAACAATAAAACTCAGATGAATGTGTTAGGGCTTTCTCGTACAATGTCTGCCCTGGGTAATCCTGATGATGAATCAGAGATGCCCACCCAATTTTCTTGAGTACTGATCCTCTCTTTCTCCTCGCCAGGGCATGGCGAGGAGAAAGTGAGCAAACAATTGCCTGTGATTACTGTGCAGTCAATGGACTGTAGGGGCAGCGCCTCGGAATCTCGAGCCGCTGCAGAGGGGAAGATGAGTTGATGTCTCCAAACCTCGAGGTTTGGTCACTAAAATGGTCGCAAGGGGGTCGCAAGCGATTTTTGGGCTTCCGAGCCTAGTAAAATTGATCCTCTGGATCTGGTTCTGCTCTTCCTCTCTTGCTCCCGAACAGGGCCTTGCTGTCCACAGACGCCCGTCATGACCAGGGCCTAAGTTATCAGGGCAATTACCCTGTTTTGACTGAAATTATAGGGTGTTTTTTCTAGGAGCCCTGATTTTCACAAGGTTTTTTCCGGACCAGCCCGTACTACTGAAGGGTGGTTTTTGAGTCAGCTCGGATCTCTCCGAAGAGTTCTCAAGGGGACCCGTATAATTTTAGCAGACATGTTCTCCCCGACCTGCCTTGCATTCCTCTCGGTCTCCCTCTAAACACACGTTGGGCCAATTTTAGTGAATTTCCTAACCACTCTCTCCTTGTTGGCCTCCATGTGTCTGATTGCCCCGTTCTACGTCGACATGGCTTAGAAGGCCAATAAGGAGAGAGTGTCTGATTGCCCTGTTCTCCCTATGTACTCTTCCTCATCGTATTTTTTTCTAAGTCTACAAAAAGTATCTCGCTCACCCCTCCAGAGCCACTCCATCTCCAATCTCCCCAGCCCTCGCGCAACGTTTCCCGCGAAATTCTGGTAATGCATGTTTTCAGGCCTTTTCTGGCTCGAACCCGGATTCGTCAAGGTTTTTTTCCCGCTGGCTCGGATTTTACAGGGTCTTTTTCACAGGGGCCCGGATCGTCCGAGCTAGCAAAAATCCTAGCAATAGCCCTGGTCATGACCCCTGACATTCGGGTGGAACATCAATCTCCCGCGTTTTAAACCTGCTTGGTGGTGGCTGGCGGCTGTAAGTGTTTCGTGAGCGTGCGGCGATTTGCAAGCCAAAATACGGCCGTGGTTGAAATGCACCCTAGTCACACACCCTCACGCACCCGAGCCCTATTGAGCGAACTGCCTTGATGCCGTCGTCGCCGTACCCACAATCGCAGCCATCGCAGCAGCGGAATCGCAGTTACTCTTTACCGGCAGCACTTCTCCACCATCGGAAAAACAGGGGGGTTGGAGGGGTAGGTTTTGTTTCAGGTACTTCATCGCAGCTCTACTCGAAGTTGCGCTAAACCTACCCCTGAGCTGCTTTCAGCGTGGGCGCTTCGGGAATCGGGGGGGTCACGAAAGCGTGCAGCTTGCGTGGACGAAAATTATTGGATCTCAATTCATACCTACGGGATAGCTGCTGTTAGCGAAATGCCTCAGCTTCGTTTGCTTTCCTGTTTTAATTTCGCCCGTTTCGTCCGATCACAGGTTCCGGAGCAAGGATTCTTTCGAGACCAAATCCCGCTAAGGAGTTTTGGGTTACACAACGAAAATAGTAGTGTTTGATATAAATTAAAGTACCTGCATAGATTGTAACCAATTATACCTACTAGGTCATATTTCAAAAAATAGCTTCCCACAAGGATTATCTCGTGATCAAAACCCCGCCATAAATCTGTTTTTACGCTTCCAAGTTCTTTTATGATTTCTAGTTGTAAAGGGTCTACATATTTCAATTGACATGTTTACACACACTATTATGAATTCCATCAGTTACTTCTACAAGAATTATGTTAACTACTCAGGCTCTTACAAAACCAAATGATAGGTTGTTGTCACTACCTATAACTAAATCTACCCATTGTTTGCAGCAAATCACTGCAATGATTAACAATATGCAAAACGGTTGAGGAGCTTCAGCGTGTGGGTCGCGTGAAGGACGTTATGATATGCTCCGCCCGACCGATCTCTGCAAGATGAATGATCTTGTACGTAGCTGCGCGACGTCCCGTACCCAGCTTCAACGAGCACGTCTCGACGTCCTCCCCACGCTCCTCAAGCATACGTACAAAGGCCAATGGTATTTTGTTGTTAACGCCGCCCTCTCCGCTAATCATCACGTGAAATAGCACAAGAATTTGTGCATAGACTACAGCCGGGGGAGGTGTTGATCCGTCGGCATCGTCTGACTTCAGTGAAACACATGAAAACCAAGCGGCGCCATGGAAATTTGGGGTCGCGCGTGCGTAGTGGCTCTGGTAACCGTCTTTCCCTGGTAGTGCCACGGCGGAATGGACCTGCA